CCTGTGTTCCGGCCTTTCCTGAACTGTAAGTCATGGAGCTTGCCTGTTCTCTGCAGCATGCTCTTCTGGTCCTGGGGGGAGAAGTTGTATTGCTGATCTTGAGGTCTGTGTGTGCAAGTGGTTCTTAACTTCATGGGATGCCAAAGTGTAGGAAACGTCACCTTTCACAGTGCATTACCAGGGAAATGCAGTTACTTTGCAACTGTCCCTTTGAACAGAGGTGGGTATTTAAAGCAGACTTGAGTACTACCTATCCCTGGTCAAGTTGTCTATGAGTACAAGTAATGGATTCAGTGGAACTAGAGTAAATGAGTACCTGGTATTGTAAATAGATATTTTTGAGGAGCCTTTTTTTTCTGAGGACTTTTTTTAGGCAAAATGTGAGCTTTTTTTTAAAGTAAATATTATCCTTTTTCATTGCTGGGGGGGTGAAATACTGATGTTTCTTATCCTACTCATCATGATGAATCATTGCTATAGGGAGTCTGTGATCCTTAAGAGTTTATCAGCTACCTTCACACAAAGTATTGAGCCCTATATGCACGTTGATCTAGAACAGCAGCTGTTGCTTTAAGTAAGGTTTTGTTACAGAAGCAGACACTGATAATGACAACTGGAGAAGATAGGGTAGCATTTTTGGGGAAAATAGAAATGAAAAAAATCTCTTTTTTTTAAATAATAAAATTGGGGTTTATTTTGGTTTTGTTTTTTTCCAAAATGCCCTAATACAAACAAGGGAAAAACTGTATTTCTGCTTCCTGCCTTCCCCATCACCACTCTTTCACCTCTAACTCAACACACTTTCATCGTATCTGTTTTTTCAATGGAAACATTAAAATTAAAGGAAACTTCTGGTTTGGGGCAACAAAATCTGGTGTGATTTAAAAAACATGCTAAGGAAAAAAAAGACATGCAGATGGGAAGTATTAGTCCGACTCTCCTGGTTGCTACGGCCCTTCTTTCTGCCTTCCTTTCCTTGCATGCTGGGAGGGTTGATTTCAAGCCTTGTTCTCCATTGCTTTCCCACTACATATAGAGGTGTGTAATGAACTATTGGAATATAATCATTGTGAAGAGAAGCTGGGACAGGTTCAGTACAGCCACATGGGTGGATTTTCTTGGCAGTGTTCTTAAGGTTCCTATTACTGTCTCTATCAGGGACTTCCTTGTGGGAACTTCCCTGTCTTCTACAGCTAGAGTGACAGGAATTAAACATGATAGATTCTTCTATGGTGTGCCTTAATGACAGGGTTCTGGAAGTGAAAACGCATTCTCCTCCAGCCAAGAGAACGATCCTACAACAGGATTGTAGCACTGCGACAACTGCATTTAAGCTCAGCTACCTCTTTGCTGTTTCAAAACACCCAGGGATTGGAACCAGTCTTTATTCACACACAGGATCTTTGTTCCTGGAGAGAGAACTGAGGTTGCTACTGCACTTGAGTATTTCCCCTGATTAATTTCATATGAGCCTCTGCATTGAACTGTCCTGGAGGCTGGTGGGGTATGACCTGTACTCATGTGCAGGTAGAGGGGGTGGAATGGGAATTCTCCTGTCTCTGGATGGCATAAAACCCACAGCGGATTAAGGTGAGCCAATGCACATTGACGACTCAATCATGCCTTCCCCTGCTAAACCTGGCCAGGGACCACTGCTATGGGCCCTTGGGGAAGAGATGCTGTGAGTCCTGCAGGGGAGGTATAGGTGAGAGCTGGCAAATTCATAACCCCTGCCTCAAAGAGCTGCCTTTACTCTCAGGCCTTTCATTGAACCACCTCTCTTGAGCTCCTGTGAGGGCTGGCCACCACTGTGAGAGGAGGATGGAGGATGAAACGAATGATGTCTTTTCATGCCAGGCTGGGAAGTGATTTGTGTGTGACTGCTCACCGTGCTGCAACGCTATGAATAAAGTCAGGAGGACTTGGATTTTGACCAAACAACAGCCCTGGCCAGGGATGAAAAAGAGGGGTGCCTGGTGCTCTGTAATTATAAAGACCCCCTAAGAAGCTTCCAGCTTTTCAAGCAATGATTTTAGAATTCTTATTCAAAGCCAGTACCATATGAAAAAGACACGAAGGGATCTTGCTCCAGCCTCTTCCTCCTAAAATATAGATCTTCAAATTACTGCTCTACATAATGGACACAAGTACATCACAGGATGGCACACTGCTAAGACAGTTACACTTCCTTTCCCTCTTCTTTCTCCCCCTTTTCTTCTCTTTTCCTTCAAAGATTAGCAGACAGGAAGAACAGATTTAAACCACCAATTTGTACCTTTGCACCACCCTATATTATTTTACTTCCTGCATTATCTTGGGCAAATTACTTAATCCCCATTAGATGATGGTGTTGATAACCCATCCTTCCTCCCAGTGCTAAACAGCATAGTTGAGGGATGATGAACATTACAGCTGATTCTGCTGCCAGCCACAATAGAATACCCTTCCTACACTGACCCTTAGTAAAGCTCTAGTTGCCAGCTCATTTCTCTTGTGAAAAATCACAACTTATTTCATAAGTATAAGCGATAGTTTAAAAGCCCAAAGTCACCATCCTTATAGCCTCATAGCCCTAGCATTCTTGCGTTAATCCTATACCTGAAAGCCGAGCTGCAACTTGGCGACTGATTTCACATTCAGTTCACAGTCTACTTCAACTCCTGCTTTCGGAGCCTCTTTGTCAAAAGAGACCAAAAATAAAGGCAGCTCTTTGCAATTATAGTTGCTGTACGTGTATACACGCTTGTAACATAGAGAAGATGCATCAAGATCATCTGGCTCTTACCAGACAAGGACTAATCAATGCAATCTTCAGAAATCCCTCTAAGTAATTGGCTTCCACCAAAGCAACATTTCATACATTTGGGGATATTATTTCTGAGAGCTGGGAGGGAAATTGCAAGCGCATTAAATGCTGAGTAACGGTATCTGCACATTAGTACCGCAGCTGAGCTCAAAGCCAAGCTGTGCCAGGTGTTGTGCAAACACACCACGAGAGTCGATCTCCACTCCAAAGTTGATAAACACAATAATGAGGCGCTCAGATTGATTGATAAACTGGTCCTGAAGAGGGAAACAAACATTAGCAGCTTGTTTGCTTGACAAAAAGCTGTAGTTGGAAGGGGTACCCCTGGCTTCTAGGAACACTTCCAGTCTCACAGGAGCATCTAAGGGAATAAAAACACACGGAGCAGGAAATTCCAGCTTTCCAAGGCCAAGAGTCACCCTCCACAGCCATAGAGAAACAATGCTGGGAACAATTGCTCACAGCAGATGTGCCTCATAGTGGTTATAAGAACTCACATCATCTCCTGGCCAACCTGACTTGCTCCCAAAGCAGCCCTGGTGCCTGAACAGTCTCCATGCTCTCTGTCCCTGCTTTTCTCTTGAGGAGAAGAGCTCCTCCATCATTAGGACTCAAGCATCAGTGACGTGAACCCCAGGAGCACGTGAAGAGAGAGGTGTCAGCTGAGTCCCTGTCTAAAAGACATCTCTGTGGGTCCCATCCCAATTGCTTGTGAGTATACGGGGTGTGACCCCATTTGTCTTTCATCTTTATCCGTGGTCTGGTCACTCACAAGCTCGCTGGAGAAATGAGCCAGATCCCACTCGGCTCCAAAACCAAATCAAGGACATGGTGGGAAGCTACAGGCTGGCTATAGGTGGATCTCTCTCTAGTTCCTGCTCTCCTCAGCCAGAGACAACAGAACTGACATCCTCAGAATATAAAAGAGATAAATGCTCCTGGCTTTCCTCCCTGTTGACAGATGCTGGAGTGCATATAGGAGATGCACTCCTATTAATAACTCACAGCAAGGGTGGCTTTTCTGCGTGTATGCAGATGAGGTAGGAGGTGGGATACCCAATACATCTGTGATGCTCGGTAGTGCCCAAGTTCAAGCAAGACTGGGAAGGGCTGGAAAATGAACAATTTGCTGTTGTATTTAATGTATTTTATTGTTCTTTCCCCCTTTCTTCCTCCTCTGTCTTCCCCCTGTGAGGCAAATGAGTGCAAGCTGGGAGAACAGGGCTCTGTTTCTTGCCCTTCCCGGCTTTTTTCTGTGGCCTGAAGGGAGACTTTGAGCATTTCTAAGTGTCTTAAGTGATCCCATCAAGTGCTCTCATCATTGCTGATGCTCACAGCCTTGGGACTTACAATCCTGGTAGAATTAGCATAGAACCTACCACTCCAGTACAATGCCTTTGGTAGCTAAGCTTGAATTCAGGCTCACTGTTACAGACGCCAGCAGGGACCCATTGCCTGTGCTGCAGTGGGGTCACTGCCTGCACAGCCCATGGACTTGCTTCAGAGTGGGGCTGAAATGCGGGCAAAGAAGAGAAAAATAGGGAAGTTTAGCTCAAACATAAGCTATAATCTACAATCCAACTAGAAGCATTTTTATAACACAGAGACCCATCCTATGGAGTGCAGTACACACACACCAGTCTGAAGTGACCATAGATGAGTTATTGGTTTCACTCCCAGCATTAGGAGCTCTTCAGCCGCAGAGAAGGTTTGGGTTGTTTCGGACACACAAACTGAATCAACAGAAGTTATGTGGTGCCAACCCCGACCTTGCTGCAAGGGTTTAGAGGCAGCACAGCCCTTCCCTGGTTACTCAGTCCTGCCCCTGCCTGTCCCTGCTGCTCAGCCCCAGCTCAGCTCCACGCTCACTCATCCTGTTCTGCTTGTTCTGTGTCACATCTCCCCGTGCATCCCGCACCACTCCCCAGCTCCGGACCCAAGCAGTCCCAAACTGCCTCAGTCTCCCCTCCTCACAGTCGGCACAGGATAACGCAAAGGTGGTCACCGCATTCCCACCCTCCTTGCTCCAAATCGGTGCAAATTTGAGGACTGCAGGACGCTTTTTAAACCAGCAAAAGGACAAACGCACACATCTCCCTCCTTTGCTTGATTCAGCTTTATTGTCCACTTCATCAGGGAGAAGGACATTCACCCAAATTAAAGCCTGGGGACTCTTCGGAACGCTCACAACTGGGCGGGCTGAGGTTGGGTGGAGGTACCAGCCCCGCTGACACTCTCAGGACGGGTCTTAACTTCTCCTCCTTAACTTCTCCTACCCCGCTTCTCCCTTCCCTGCCCCGGGGCACGCAGCTCTGCCCCTCCGACCCCTTTCTGCCTCCCGGGGCAGGTAAGCGGGGCACAGCGAACGGCGATGGGGAGCGGGGAGCCCTGCCCCGGCCGGGGCGGGGAGGGGCAGGTAAAAGCCTTCCGATGCGCGCTGGTACCGCCTCCTGCCCGGGCAGCGCGGAGCCGGAGCGGGGCAGCGGTAACCCGGGGTGAGGAGCGAGCGCTGCCCCGGGGCGTGCGGGGAGAGGGCGTCCGGATGCCCCCAGGGCGAGCGGCGCTTTGGGTCGGGGATGCTCCGGTCTTGGTGTGGCCCGTTAGAGGCTTGGTAATGGGGGGGGGGGGGGGGGGGGGGGGTTGCAGGGGATGGTGTTAGAAGAGAGCATCATGCTCATGGGAAGGGTTTTGGTGGGGTTGTTTGGTTTTGGTTTGGTTTTCCACCCCTGCGCTTTCCGTGAATGGGGCGGGGATACAGATGGTCACCCCTTGCTGAGAGAGCTGCAGTGCTCATCGTGTCCTCGCTCTGCGTTCAGCAGGATGGTTTCCATCGCTCTCGAGGTGAGCTGCAGCTTTGTTGCTTGGCTGTTTCTGTATGCCGGCTGCTGCTCCTGGAACAGGGGCCGTTCCTACGAGTGGAGCTGTCGCTTGGTCACCCTGCTGCATGGGGTGATTGTCACCTGCCTCTCCGGTTACGCTGTGTTCTTGGATGGCCCCTGGCCTCTGACCCATGCAGGTATGTTTGGAGTCTTACCCTGACTGTCGTTGCCATGCAGTGGGGACACCTCTGGTTCTGCTACAGGTGGAGTGGGGAGCAGATTGCTTTTGCTGCCTCCTATATGTATGCTTTTGGAGTGTGTTTGGGGCAGGATCTTGTTTAACCTCCCCCTGCTTCTTCTCCTCCCACTTCTTACCGTTAACCTTTTCCTTGTTTTATCCATGTACATATTGAGAGCTTCCACGTTGGCAGCTTGAGTTTATCGCAGCATTAGGCGTTAACAGTGTGTTGAGAATAGACCAAGTGCTGTTCACATCTTTAAGGGTATAATAGCTCCTAGCATTTGGCTGTGGGGTTTTGTTTGCTGCTTCCTGTAATTAACACTCAGACGGTTCTGCTGATGGTGGTCAGGCTTTCCAACCCCCCTTTCTAAGAGAGAAAAAGCAAACCAGAAGTGTGGAGGGATGGGTGGCCTGCCTATGTCTGTTGGGCAGGCTGAAGTGTGAAGGGAGAGCAGAACCAGGCCTCCAAGCTTCCAGCCTGGCTGCTGACCCATAGGAAAGCCTGGAAACTGAGGAGGAAAGAGGCATGCTCACAATCTGTATTCCTCCATATCACAGAAGAATGTCTTCAATCAGACCCCAGGCTTATGTACATCTTTCATTTCAGGTTCACCAAACACAGCTCTTCAGATCCACGTGCTGTCCCTGACCTTGGGTTACTTTATCTTTGACCTGGGCTGGTGCCTGTATTTCCAGACAGAGGGGGACCTCATGCTGCTCCACCACACGCTGAGCATCTCCGGCATGATCATTGTGTTGGGGCTTGGGAAGTCTGCTACAGAAGTCAATGCTGTTGTGTTTGTGAGCGAGATCACCAACCCTCTGCTCCAGACCCGCTGGTTCCTGCGGGAAATGGGCTGGTACCACACTCTCCTGGGAGACATTGTGGATTTCTTCTTCGTTTCCCTCTTCCTGGTGCTTCGAATTGGAGGAGGAGCTTTGATCATGTATGCGATGGTGACATCCCCTGATCCCAGCTGGCTCCTCAAGGCTGGAGGCTTGGCCATGTACGTTGTATCTTTGGGCTTCATGGTTGAAATCTGCCGCTTTGTCAGGAGGAAAATGATGAAGAAGAATATTTCCTGGGCAAGGCGGAGCAGTTCGAATGCACCTGTGAAAACTAATGGGCACTTGACAGCTCATTAATGGGTTGTGGATAATCCCCTGGGATAGGGTTCTGGCTTATCCCTGTGAAAAGAACTCCTAAACCTGACTGGAATTGACTTTCTGGCACTGGCTATGCCTGGAGGAGATGAACCAGCACTAGGAACACAGGGAAGCTGACAGAAGAGGGGTTTGAGTGCACATCTGGCACGTCTACTGACCAACACACTTGACTAAGTACTTGGATGAAAGCCTCTGAACAAGACTCAAGTGCGTGCAGGGTATGGTAGAGCTGTCCTTTGCCTGTGTGGAGTGATGGTACTTGAGGTGAGGTAATGTTTTACCTCATTGCTTTTAATGATACATTTCTTCCTTTTTTAATACTTGTGTTCAAGCAGATACTGATCTTAGAGCGCTGTGACTTCACTGGGATTGACTCAAGCTCTTGCAAACAAGAGTCAAGAATTAGACTAGTGCCAATAAATTCCATAAGCAGGTATTCACCTAGTCCTGGATTGCTTCAGAGAAACCAAACAGGCATTTTGTGGGTGAGAGAGAGAGAGAAGAGCCCCTCTTTGGATGCTCTTTCTGTTCTGGGTTGGCTCAGCTGCAAGCCACGTAAGCTGAATGCATGGCTAACAAGTGCAGTAAGTGACTGTATTTTCAGGGCTGACAGTAATGTTTAGGCAGATCTCAATGCAACATCTGTTCCATACCAGCAGGCCTTGGAGTATGGACCAGTTCTCTTGTTTTATCTCTCAGAGTGGTGTTCTGACATTTCCCCTGGGGTTTTAATGTGAATTTCCCTCTGTTTAAGGCTGCAGTTCAGATTTACTCTCCCATAAAAGCCTCGCTTACAGCTGAGAAACAAATGGCTTTGTGTTGCCCTCAGGCTTAGGAAGGCTGGTTGCCTTTCCTTCCTCATTTCAAAGACCTTGTTTAGAGGAGCCCCTGAAACAGCCTGTGTGTGGCTTTTGCTCAAGCTAGGTGTCAACCCTGCTGCAGAGGGGAAGGAAGGGAGCAATGGGAATACAGCTGCTATGGGGACACAGCCTTACTAGCTCCTCCATGCCTCTTATCTCACCGCCTTTGGCACTGCTCAGGGCAGATATCTGCCTTGGCTGGGGGTTAGAAGAAGGTGTGTGGAGAGATTAAGAAACGACATGAAACAACCTTTGCCATGCCCTGTGAATGCACTGCAGCTGTGAATGCAGGGAATTGAGCAGGCTATTGCCTATAGAAAAACAGGAGCCTTGCTCTTGGGGCCTGCGTTTGAGGTGTGAACTCTTGCCAGAGTCACTATGCTCTTCCAAAAACTCCTCTTGAGTGATGAGACTTCTAATAAAGCTGTGCTCTCTTGTTCAAAAGAAATGGTTGCTGTAATGTTCTTTTGTTCTGGGTCTTAAAAGTTAATGAAGCCTGAGGAAGAGAGGCTTGAGGGGAGCCTAAGCATGCTAAGGCTAGTAGTCACTGACCAAGCTCTGGCTCATGCCCTTAATGCAGTTCAGGAAGGAGTGAGCTGGTGGGGAAACAAGCACAGGACTGAGCCATGTGCTCTACAGCTCAGGTTTAAGGTGTGAAGAATAAATGAAGGTCAGCTAAAGCTTAGATTTGTGACTAATGTACCCATAACTTGCCTCAGCAATGAATTATATCACAGGGAACTTGAGAATAAGCCATAAAACCGAGGTGTTTGCTCTAGATGGATGCAGGGTCACAGGGTGACTTAAATTCTGATCATGTCCTTCATGCCAGGTTGCCCTTTGTTAGCACCAAAACCTCTCTGTTGCTGTGCTTCATCTTAGGAATAGCCAGTTCAGAAGGCTGGGATTGCAGGTGGTTTGTCTGTGCTGTATTTGGAGAATATAGAGTTATGAGATGTCCTAAATCACTGCTGAGTGGCTGTCTGGGGTGGAAGTGGGCCTGGGCTTGGCTTCCAACAAGGAAACTCTCTTCCTTCACCTGTGGAGACAGTAAATCAGCGCACACAGCTTGCATGCAAACCCGAACTGATGGAAGCTACCCGGTGAGATGCGAAGGCAAGTGCCCTCAGGTGGTCATGCACCACGTCTCACCTAAACTTAGTTTTAGCCTGAAATCCTCTAATGTGACGCTAGAAAAGCATCTGGTTCCACCCTTGCTATCCCATTGGATTTCTTATTTGCTAACATGTCAGAGAAATGTCATTTTTAATACAGGTGCCTGGTTTTTACCTGTCAAACATCCTTGAGGGCTTTTACAGTCACAGAAAGCTGTTGGGCTCTTGTGTGTTTCCAGCTGTTGTGTATTTCCTGTGGGACAAGAAGTTTCCCACTGTTGGCAAGCCAATAGGTTCAGTGTTATAAGTTCTCCTTAGAGTGAGTACAGCAAGTAGAAGGAATGTACTGCTGAGGGAGGGTGCAGCTGTACTACACCACGTAGCAGTGTGCAGATAACTGTTAGCAGAGGTTCCTGGCCTGAGCTCTTTTGCTGAATGCTGTTTATCTACAGGCAAAACGAGCCAGTGCAACCCAGCCTGCCTGTTTAAATGGCTGACACTGCACAAAGCAAACAAGGAAACGAGTGTGCAAGCTGCCCCTAACTTCTGGTACAATCCACTTGCTACCTTGCATCTCACTAGATGCATGTTTTGCACATTGTACAATCTAGAACTATACCCCCCCCCCCATTCTACCTCAGACATTAAATGGTCCTGGTCTTGATAGGGCTTTCAGAGCGATCTGTAACCATCTCCGTTGTTCTTCCTGACTGCTGAGTTTCTGTGCTATGGGTCAGTGTTAGCCCTACAGCTTTCTGTCTGTCAACCCTGGTCTTTATCCTAAGCTAAGAACAGCTCCATCTCGATTCTTACTGATGCTGTTGGAGGGGGCTGGTGCCTGGTCCAGCAAAAGTGGAGGAAAAGAAGATGAAACCTAAGATTTGTTAGAGAAGCAAACGTGCTGTTAATGCTAGTGAGGCTGTCGTGCTGAAATAGTTGAAGGATGAGCATCTTGTGGCAACAGGAACCTGTGCCTGGCCTGAACTGGAAAAATAAGATAGAGAGATACGCAGTTGAAAACAGCCTTATTACAGGTACTGTAAGAGGCAGGACAAGATACTCCCATCATCTGTATTTCAAAGGGTAGAACTTGACAGGATGAGATAAAAAAAACCCCAAACTGTTGCTGGGAGTGAGAGTGCTTTGATTGCAACGTAACAAATGAGTGTGTTGGCTGTGGAGGAACTTTTTTGCGATATACTTTAGGCTGCATAAGCCCTAGATTTTGCTACTCCGTGGATGTAGATGAAGGCAGGAGAGAGAAAAGGTGTGGTTTAGCACAGAATATGTGGTAGCTAGAAGAAATTGCTAGGCTTTGTAACTGTTGCACAAGCATTGGATGAGAGGGTATGTCCAGGGCAGGGCTGTGTGCTTGCACAGCCTGCTGAAGCTGCGTGCTGCGCAGTGATAAACCCCACGGGGTATGTTTGTTACCTCGAAGCCGGTGCTATAGTGATGCAGCGTTGCGAGTTGCTTCGCACCAGGCGCTGGCTGGCTGGGAGGAAAGCAAGCCCACATTTGCCGTGTTATCTCTGCGACACGTGAGATGACTGAAGCGGGTCATGGGTGCGTGGGACTAACTTCCTGTGCCCACAGGCTAAAGCGATGCTCTTTACATGTGCCCAATGGACACATAACCTGCACCTTGCTCTGTGAGCAACCGGGCGCTGAACCGCGGAGGCACCTGGAGACCTGCGCGTTAGGGCTCTCGGGGCCAGCCCCGATGGTCCCCAGCCCCATCCGTGAGGGATGCTCACGGAGCCGCTGATGCCGGGCGCCCCTTCCCTGCGCTCCCGCGGCCGCTGCCGTCCCTCCTCCCCGCCAGCAGGTGCCCCTCGGCCGCCGCTTCCTCTTCCCGGGCGGCGGAGGCGGCTCGAGCAGCCGCGTCCGTGCGGTGGGTGCTCGGGGAAGGGCCTGTCCCCGCTGCCTCCATTGCGGCCTGCGGGGACCCGGCCTCGGCATCCGCGGGCACCCGCAAAGCCGCGGAGGCCGCTGGAGAACAGCGGGGCCGGAGGCGAGCGGCGGAGGCCGGTTGCAGGTGATGCAGGGAGCGGTACGGGATGCGGGCTCGGGCGGTGGGCGCAGTGTCCGTGCTTTGGGGCACGCTGTGCAGGCTCTTTGGGCTCCTCTGGTTTATAGCTGCGCCCCGTAAAGCCGTAGAGGAATAACGGTGCTTTGCTGGAGGCGCCCACCTCGTTTTTAGGTGCTTGTGGGGAGAGCAGGGCTGTTCTATACCAGGGTTTTAGGCACCTGTAGTTATTATAGGGCCTGCTTTCACTCATGACCCCGTTGCTCCTGGTGGTAGGAAGGATAATATGATTACTAAAGGATATTGCCCTTTCTGGTGTGCAGGGACAGGCGTAGCTCACAGGTGCAATGTATATATGTAATGTATGCGTGCAATTGCATGTGCTAATGACAACGTTGAGCTTTGATGTGCAATTAGAAGATAGACCCCTTTCTTTCCAGGGGATGGAGAAACAGGTTTTGCACCTCTTCCTCCCTTTCCTCGCATCAGAATTCTTCCTGCCTTATCTGCCCTGACTCTGAATGCATACGGACCTCAAGTACCAGGGATGTCAATGGAACGCTTGGTCAGAGCAGTTAATTACATCCTTATTTCATCTCCCCATGTTCCCAAGGCCCATTATAACATAATGGTTTTGTTTACCCAGCCTCCTAAGTAACTCCTGGTCAGACTTGCAGTACCCAACCTTCCTGTTTGGCCTGTTGCAACTCTGACTCCTCATCAAGCGTGGTCCTTTTGGTGTTCCAGAAGGACCTGGGTGTGAATCCAGTGCGCTGGTCAGCAGGTACCAGCAGGACCAGTGGCACTTTTGCTATTACTCAACTGGAAACTCGCGCATCCCAGAGCGTGACTCAACCGCTTTTGATGCGCTTCCCTGAATGCTCAGGAATAACGAGACACATCTTGCATTGCATGGAAAGGTATTGCAAATATGAATGAGATGTAGATATTATTGTGTATTTGGGGGGCTTTTAGCAACTGGCTGCTGAAGGTGGTGGGCTGCTTTATCTGATCGCTGGTTGCTGGGGGGTGCTGTATTCTAATCTGAGCTTTGACCTATGTGTTTGAGTTTGAACTATGTGTTGTTGTTGGAAGTTTCCTGGGGAGAACAATGGAGTTTTGCAGTGGTTTTTCTTCCCAAATTGTCCCAGAAATGTTCTGGGGCTGGAAAGTTAAAGTTCAGTAGCAGGAGGAGATGGCAATGCCTTTTGTGTTTCTCTCATTAGCATCTGGTGTCGCTGCACTGGCAAAATTCGTTAGCAGTGGACATAGAAAGAGACTGTGGTGTTTGGGTTTTATGGGGGTATTTTGTTGTTTCAGGAGAGGAGGAGCCAAGAATGAGTAGGTCAGGTGGGGCAGCACAAGCAGACCAGTCAAATGCAGATACATGGGCAGGGAGCTAAAACGAAGAGGCAGGCGTAGCTCTGGATCAAAGCTTTATTGCTGGATGTGGCGCTCCTCAGCCTGTCCCGCAGGCAGTGCAGATGAGCACTAACACATCCCAGCACATCCTGCACTGTAGACTGGTTGGAGAAGTCTTCCGAGGTGCTCTACCAAGTTGTGGTGTGTTTTCTGTTCAACCAGGTAGGAACTCGCTGCCTCACAAGGCCATTGCTTTCAGTGCGTCTTCCCACAGCTGAGGTGACACTGGTGGGGGCCTGTTTGCTGGAGGCTCTATGGTGAATCTACCCTGATTGTCAAGGATAGGCTTCTTTGATGTTGGCCTTTTCCCACAGGAACTCTATGTCAGGAGCAAGCAACAGCATCAGGAAAGTGCTGGGGTGGTTACGGATGAGATGCTGCACTGGGTTGTGCTAACACTGCTAGACCTTCTGATCCATTTTGTCTTTCTGTTCCTGTGGCAGGATGCTGTTCCCCCTGCCTCTGCGGGTAGCCTGCAGTCTGCTTGCCTGGTTCTCTCTCTACACTTGGTTCTGCCATCGCTACAGGCACCGGAATTACGAATGGAGCTGCAGGCTGGTCACTCTGACCCATGGCATCCTTGCTACCTGCCTCTCTGCTTACGTTGGCTTTATTGATGGTCCCTGGCCTATGAGTCACCCAGGTAAGTAATGAAAGTTGTGGTCCCAAGTCCCCCAGTGTGTGATGGCACAAAGGAGGGTCCTCCTGCTACCTCAGTATCCAGCCCACCTGAGGAATGATGATTGTGGTATCTGAGCTGCTTTGTAATGGAAAGTACTGGAGAAATGGAGAGACTGGTACTGTATTTTGGTAGTGTAATGGTCTTCCCCAGCTGCATTCTGGCGGGGTGTTTGATCACGTTGTGTGGCTATTACATGTGTGCAGCTGTTAGACTAACAACTACAGTATTGTGATTTCTCTGACTTCTCCATCTGAGCTGTGATCAGTACAATCTAACACCAGTCCGCCAACACTGAAGGTGAATACCCCTTCCTTGTCTCAGATGCTGCCTGCTTGTTGCCTCCATGTTTTAAAGCTCTATCTGATGTCTTTATGTTTCAGGATCACCAAACACAACTCTCCAGGTACATGTGCTGTGCCTTAGCTTGGGCTACTTCCTCTTCGACCTCTGTTGGTGTGTGTACTTCCAGACAGAGGGTGCCCTGATGCTGGCCCACCATCTGGTGAGCATCTTGGGTATCACAGCATCGCTGGCACTCGGGGAGTCAGCTGCGGAGGTCAATGCCGTCATCTTTGGCAGCGAGATCACTAACCCGCTGCTGCAGGCTCGCTGGTTCCTGAAGGAGATCGGGTGTTACCACAGTTTCACAGGTGACGTGGTGGATTTCTTCTTTGTGGTCCTCTTCACTGGGGTGCGGATTGGAGTGGGGGCCTGGCTGATGTACTGTGAGCTTGCTTCTCCCAAGCCCAGGTGGTACATTAAGCTGGGCGGCGTCATCATGTACGCTGTCTCCTGGGTTTTCATGGTCAGCATCTGCCGCTTCGCTCGGAGGAAGAGCATGAAGAAGTACCATGCCTGGAGGAGTCGGAGGAGTGAGGAGTTATACTTGAGAGCTAATGGACACCTGAAAACCCACTGACGGGATGCTGAGTAAAGACTTCCTCGAGTTCGCAGTCTGGCAAGGAGGGGATCGTGCCTGAAATGCCACTGTTGGGAGAGGAGCCAACACACGTTAGCAATTCTGGAGCCAAATTTATCCCTGGCATAACTCCACTGAAATCCATGGAGCTATGCCATGGATTCATTGGATCTGCAGCGTTTGGCCTGGCAGAGGTTGGCTCAGTGTCTACGTAAGCATACACTAAATGATATGAGTGAAAGAAGGGCTAATTTTACTGACTAAACATAACCAGTCCAGCAGTCAGGTGTAAATAGTAATTTTCATAGCTAACTCCTTCAGCACTGGTAGAATCTTGGCAAAGAGAGGACATAACACTAGATCTTCACGTTCAGAGTCCTGTACAGTCTAGACAGTTAGAGTGACTCTTCATAGTGTTAGGAAGAAGCATCTTCTAGTGTTTTGTCAGAGTTGGGATTCCTGGCTCTTCCACCAACTTGTTACGTGACCTTGGGCAAGTCACGTAACTCTAACTCTGTGCCTCATTTCCCCATCTGTGAATTGGGGGTGATGGAGCTGATCCATCTGCGTTATGCACTTTCAGATTTTCACTTGAGAGGTGCTATGTGAGTGCAAAATGAGGGTTGGTATCTGCACTTCATTCATTATCCCTGTGTTTCCTTTGGGAGAAACTTATTTTGGTGGTTGAGCTAGAGTGTGGCTCTAGAGAGAACAGAATTTTAGGTAGGTGGCTGTTTCCTACCCTGATTCCTTTCAGTAACTTATTCAGTAGTGTCCAGGAGCTCTCATCAGCACTGGCACCTTGCAGGACTAGGTGCTCTGTGAATACACCCAAAGACACAGTCCCCAATGCAAAATGCTTTCCTGACTCCTTCTCTCTTCATCCCTCACTGTTAAAACTCCACCCACCCCTTCCAAATACTGCTGTTAGCTCCTTGAGTGGCTACCACTGTTATGAGAAGCTCAACAAGCGTGTTTCCTCAGATCCAAATTGGGATTTCGGGTTGAAGAGTGGCCAACGCACATCTTCAAATCACGGTGGCTAAGATGGAAAAGCTACTCGGCTTCAAATCTGTCCTGTGCCCTGCTCAAGACAGAGACTTACCTAAGGCTATCCTTATCTGAATTGACACCTTGACCTCTTGTGTTTGAATTCACTTCTGTCTCCCTGATTGGATCTGTGTCTCCTTATAAAAGTGGGCATTTATAGCCACTTATTTACATTTATAGGCATTTATTTGCAGCCAATTCTTAAAGGAGCTAGAGGTACATAATCTGGCCTTTTTTTAAGCAAAAAAGTGAACCTGACCGGGAGGAAAACTCAGCGTTACTTTCATCTGGTCCCATTTCCAGGGAAAAACTGTCCCCTGGTTGGCAGCTTCTGGTGTTTATTTCACTGTGTGTTCTTAAGTGCTGTTCCTTTGTTACTGCTGTCATCATTACGATCATTTATTTTGAGCCTCAGCACCAGGCCTGCAGTACAGCTCAGGTGCCAGTTCTGCTGTGAGCCTTGCCTGCTGCAGCCAAAGACCCGAAGAGCCCAAACCGCTTCAGATTTAATAGAGCCAACTGATGGGTGAGTTGGTCCTGAAAAGGAAACTTGACTCATTTAACACAGCACAGTGATGGGACTATTGGGCCTTGAAAGGAGACAAGAAGGGCTAGTTGGGGTGTGCTGGTTCTTTCCCAGCAGTGCTGCTGCTGTTGGGCATGTCAAGGAGCCTTTTAGCCTCAGCTTACCCACTCTATTAAGTGGGTACAACATTACCTACCTCGTGGGGTGTTTTCATTTGTTAACACTATGCCACCTTTGATGAAGGCTTGGTGGTCTGTGTCAAGCTGTGCTGTCTAAAGGCAAAATTGCTTTGAGCAAAGCACTTGTAACAGTGACCCATCATCAGCACTTTGTCACCTGAACATGGCACTTCCCAGCATCTGGCTTGCCTCACGAAAGCAGGACTCCAAGCTGTTCTGCAGTGGTTCTGATGGGTAGGAGTCTAAAGGAATAAGCTAGGCATCCGCATAAAGATCAGGCGTGCAGCTGCTTGTTCAGGTGGACTCCAAAGCTGAAGACAGGATGTCCAGTGGGTTTTCCCTAGTAAGGATTACAGTACATGGAGCCAAAAGCTCCATTAGGACTCTAACCTCTGCTGTGCAGCTTACTGCATCGTTACTTCCCTGCCGTGGGGGCTGTACAGCCCATATCTGCCCACCTGAATAAGGATGTCAGCGACTGCAGGTATCTATGAAACAGCTTGTATGAAGATGTTCTGAAAGACAATGGCCCTTAATGGCTGACTTCTCCCCTTCTTTGAACTGGGGGGAAGCTTGGCTGGAAGAAGTAGAGCACTGTGGTCAGTGTTGAGGCCTTAGAAGTTAAACAAGGGCACCAGAAAACAAAAAGAGCAATTGGGAATGGCTTAATGAGGTAGAGCTAGCAAGGACGTCTCAGAGTAAGGCCTCATAGTCAGGTAGTTGGCTCCAGCATAGAATCACAGACCCAGAAGAAGTGTAATTTTCAGGCTATGGAGCACATGGTGGGACCTGTCCTCGGGCTAGTCCATAGTGGCTAGAGCAAATTGTAAAAGGAAACTGTGGAACTAGTGTGAAATAATAACTTGTGTTTGAATTACTGTGTAATAGCAACTAATGTTCCACCAGTGAATGGTGTAGATGCTTTGTATTATGTTTTATAAAATAAAGATTATTTAATTATATGAGATATTTGGGTTTTCTCCTTGTATGTGGTTACGAAGTTGTACTGTGCATTACTGGATTGTTGGCATTGTCGGTGTAAATGAACAAAGTGATGCTTGGTGGATGCTTTTTAGGGACATCTTAGATGCGTTAACAGGCAGAGAAACCACCCTGCAAGGTGGTCTCAGGGTACTTGGTAGTTTGGTGTTTGCTAATGGGTGCTTTCAGGTTGTTAACTGGCTGAACAGGGTGCATTTCTTCACTAAGGTTTGTTCCCAGGCTTTTCATGTGCCTATCCTCAGGCAACTCATGGAGTTTCCTTTGTTTTCCATGCTGTGTATGCTAAAGGAGAAGGTTCTCCTGTCTTTCCGCTTTTCCCTTCCCAAGACAGGTTCAATACGTGCTCTTCTAAATCCACATAAAAGAAGGTGTTGGCTTTTACTGCCTTTGTCCTGTTTCCCTCAGTTCCAGGGGGAGTTTGGCAGCTGGTGACTTGGAAGCATAAGGGGTCTTTGGCAAAAAACTTTTAAGACTGAACCGAATAGATACGGAAAAGCTTTTGCAAAGTAAAAGCTGTTTGTTGGTAGCCAGTTCTGTATGGGAAGCAGAAGGTTTCTGTGGCTTCTCAAATGCCTCAAAGTAGAGGTTTTCAGCAATGCTTGTGTTGCGGTGGTGTTTGAATTGTGTATTGTGTCAGAAGGTTCAGATCTGTTCAGTGTAACTGATAATCCTCAGATGCGATGAGAAATAATGTTATTCTCCATCTCTTTAGGTCTTTCCCTCATAGCACAGACCTTTCTTTTTATAAGCCCACCTTGAATCAGAGGACATTGATTCTAGCAGAGAGCAAGAAGGAAACTCATGGCAGAATGTACAGCAGCTTCATTTCTCTTTACAATTATTTAATTATAATTAAATAATTATTAATTATTAATTATTAATTATTAATTAATTATGCTGATATGGAAAGAAAGCTTAGTGCTATAAAACTGCTCACTGCAATGTGGATTATCCAGGTTTAGGAACTGTAATAAGCACTCACAGTAGAAGCTCTGATAGATTAGGCTATCTGTGTCCTAACAGTCATCAAAGCATTGCATTTGTGTCCCGGTGACTTAAAAGCATAGAACAAACCCTGTATGGGTTTCCAGCATTGGCAGTGAACTGAGAATGAGCTACCTGTCTGTATGTAGAAAATCATGTGCCTGTTTTAAGGTGTGAGATGGCAGACATCCATTGGTGGCTATTGAACTGGCCATATTGGTTTCTGAAGCAGGTTGCATCCACATAATAGAGAAGCTGGTTAGCATCAGCCCAGCACCTCTAAAATGTAGTAGATAGCCAAGCAGATAGTCTGGATTTGATTCAGAATATCATTACTCACTTCAGCTCCCTCAAAGGTAGAATCTCAGCAAATAATGAAATCCCACAGATATCCTCAGCTGGCTCAGAGAGATCTCATACCAGAGCGGCTCTCTGAGTTCCCAGGGATGAAAGGATGCTGAACTAAGAGGCAGCCATTAGTGCTTAAGTGAGGTTGATTGGTTGGAACTGCTGGGCACTACAAAAGGTCAGTAGGGCAGGAAGGTTTAAGTTGTGCTTAGCTTGAGAGCAGAACCAGGTTTACCCCAGTCTTGACACAAGGTCAGGGTCCTGTTCATTTTCCAGGAGTCACAAATTCATATGCACATCTGGGAAAGGAGCTGTCTGTTAGCCTTTCCTCTCCAGCTGTGCAAGGCATGAAGGTTGGCTGTTGCCTTCTGCAAGCAACTGACTTCTTTTTGCCAGAACCGAGTTGGCACAGCAATTTATGGTAAGTTTGAATAACAGTCCAAAAATAGTGGTGCATTCTGTCACTGATTTTACATTGATTACTTGCCAGTAGCAGAACTTAAAAGACATTATCCATAAATAATGATTAGTGAACCCCAGCTAATAGCACATCATACTTGACTTTAAGCGCACAGTTCTACAAAGCTAGCTGCTCTTTACTGGAGGTCTGCAGGAGATCTATTGCACCCACAGGTAACTTGCTCCAATGGCTCCTATCTGAAACGATGTGAAGGGGCCGGGGTGCCTCAGAGGTGCCGCACAAGGCTTTGCCAGCAGATGGCAACAGCTCCTCAGCGAGCACAGCTGGAAAACAGCAAGAAGAACCTCAGTGAAGCCTTTCCCTCTAAGCCTGCGTTTACAGGAGTCCCATATAAGGCACCTCCAGGGAATCTGCCCTTTTGGTGCCATCTTTTAAGGAAAACCAAGAAGCTGCACTTCACAGGAGGCAGCCTTCTTTGATTCAGGGTCCTCCTTACTTGAGCTGCTTGGGTGGTAAAAACCAGACTGGTGGGGACACTGGGGCTTTCCTTGGTGACACAGACTGGTGAGGTTAATGCGCAGGTTCCACTTCGAGATCTATGTCTGTGTGACAGTACTACATGTCAATTCAGGCTAAGTGATGACTTTAGAGCCTATCCCCACCCCCCAGTTTTAATTGCAGGGTGTAATTGCTTATTGATTTCCCCACCTGGGACTTCACACTGTAAAATTGCCCAAGCAGAAGTATCATCAATAGGCCTCTATATTAACAGCATTTGCAGAAAAGAGAAGCAGTTGTTATTCCAGAGTCTACTTTTGAATTGTTTTATTAATGCCTTTTTATTGTTGCATTAAACGTTGAAATGCGAGTGCAGTGCATTAGGAGCAATAGTTAACCTATTGGGCCATTATGGCATAGGGGTTTAATGCTTCCTTTTTGTCACTGGTGTCGTTTTGAGTGATGCTTCTTTTGACAGTGCTGAGCAAATTAATGACAAATGTTAATCACTGCCACTGCACTGAATTTGATATCAATTTACTGCAGCAGGGCACAAGTTTCCTTCGTGCTTCTATATTTCATTTTCTGTTAGGTCTTCCTCCAGCTAATTGTTGTTGTCATTATGTTGTCATGCACAATAAAACATAATTAAAGTAATAAAAAAGCATCCAGCCCTAATATGCAAGTGAAACCATCCCATAAAACAGAAGGCCTTCCAGGAGCTTTCCTTTCTCAAGGCACAGTACTTTATGTTCCCCAAGTTAAAAGCAGGGAGGGATTTATGGCAGAGAAGATGCAATAAAAAGATATATAATACATATAAATAGATGGGAGTATTAAGTCAGAATGAGAGGCAGTAATGGCTGCATGTCGTGCACTCCCAAGCCTCTATCTTTCTCAAAAGGAAACCAAAAGAGGGAGTGCACATATCCTGTGTATGTATGTCAAGCATCATGTAGAAAATGATTCCATCCCACGCTTCCCCCTTTGCACTGGAGTTCAGCAAACCAACAAATTCTTCAGGCTATCAGTCAGTCTCCTGGCTTCCTCATTCACACTCCCTCCACTCCAAGGAGGAAAACGCTTTATGTTGGAGAGCACCGGGGTCCTGAGCATAGCTGCAAGCAAGACATTGGTCCTGTGTGCTCAGTGATGTGTCTGGTTCTGGTTTCTGAA